AGCAACCGATGTTAATTTAAGACTTACTATATGCCAGGCACATCATTATGAACTTGTATATTGGTGGCTGGCATAATCATTTTTTAATCTTTTTGATGAGGAAACCAGCTTGTCCAAAGTCACACGCTGGTAAGTGGCACAGCTGAGGTTCTGCTATAATGAAGGGCCCTTCCTGTGCCCAAATCTCCTGTGGTTATCATGAGTTTCTCTGAGATGCTGCCTTCTCAGGGACAGGAATTTCTAAATGAAGTCGGGCACTCAGCTAGAGTCCGACATGCTGGCCAAGGTGAAGCCACTGGGGAGAGCTCATCAGTGGAAGCTTTTACCACAGCCACTGTCTGGCCACAGCTTCTATGGGCACTGTCCAGGCTGGGAAATCTCCATGTCATGTCTAAGGTGTTCTGGTGACAGGGCTGTGAAGGGTCTCCCATGGAATTTCTGTCTCTTAGCAAGCTAAGTGCCTCCCTGGAGAGCCAACCATAAAACCCTCACTGAATTTTGTCAGATTCTCACTACTTTGGAGATGTGGTTTATGTCTTCAGGATAGGAACGAACCTCAGGAGTTATCTGCCATGCCCCCATCAAAGAAGGCAATTTGCAACAAAGCCAGAAAGTGTAATAGAGACCACATTAGTATTGCTAACAATAACAGTAACAGTAATAGTAACAAATACTGTCATTTGTTGAGCCTGCTGGGACTGAGAGATGGAAGGATTGATTGAAAACTATCCTAGAAAGTGAGTTATATGTTTGATTGTATAAACATATAAACACATTGTTTCAATAAGCTGTAGCAAATGGATGTAACTGCAGGTTCCATGGGAGCTCTAAGCACAGAAACATGATCCTGCCCAGGGAGCCAGGGAGGACTTCCAGGAGGAGGCAATGCTGAAGATTCACTGTTACTTCCTTCATAGACCTGTCTCTCTTCCCCTGATTTCCAATAGGCCCCTGGATCCACAAGAACATGGCTCATATCTATTTACGTATTGCTATATTTCCAGGGGCTGGCATCATGTTTCCTAAACAGTGCATCAAAGCACCCCAGGGTGTCACCACAAACTCATGGGGGTGCTGAGAGATTTTTCAAAATTTTGAGGAAACACAGTGACATCTGACAGACCCTTAGGAACTACTAGGTTGACAGAGTTCACAGTTTCAACATTAGATAGAGCTACATTCCTTTCGATGGTGCCCCGTCTTGGCAAAGCTGGGTTTTCCGTGGTTGCTGTGCTAAAAAGCAAGAACTGTGACAAAATCAACGTGGAACAGGAAATGAGGGTGTCTAAGTCCAACCCGATCCTAAAGTTTGAGGAGTTTTGCACAGCCCAACAGGCACACACATCCCTGTAGCAGTTGTTTAAAAATGAAATAAAAATAATATTTTTCCTTTCCATTTATGTGCATTACTTTTTCAAAAGGTTACTAAGTTATCAAGATTTAACTACTTATTAAGTTGTTTAGACCGACCTGCTTAATAAATGGAACTAGTAGGGATTTTGGCTTAGGAAATCTGTGAAAAAATTCCTGAGACACTAATTTAACTAATTTAACACTAAAATAACTAGGTCCTGTTAATTGAGAAAGTTTGGGATCCTCTGTCCTAGCATGTGCCTGCAAATAAGCAGTTATTGAATGATGGAGTGAGTTACTTCCAATGACCTTGCTTGGTAGAGAGTATCTTCCTTTATAGATGAGGACTATGAGGCCCAGAGAGGGCAAGTTACTTGTCCATGGTTGCCCAGCAGAGCTGGGGGCGTGTCTGACTGTGAATTCCAGACTCTTCCTTCTCCCTGACCCATCTGTTCTTGAAGTGCCCAGGGACACTAAGAGTGAAAAGACATGGCTTTGAGTCCGAGCTGGACCAAACTATGGCCTTGTGCAAGCAAGTGTGAACAGAGGCTGTGGACAGCCAGAACTTATACAGTTTTCTCAGTCTGCTTCATGAGCTTGTTGGTGGAAGAGCTTTGTCAGCTGCAAAGCACCAGAGCTTTGCCCAGAAGCTGGACTGCAGGACGATGATGTGAAAAGATGCTTTTGGGTTTGGTCAGGCTTGAGTTAGAAATCTGGGTTCTCCTTTTCCCTGCTGTGTGACTTCAGGAAAGCTACTTACCCTCTCTGGGCCTTCTTTGCCTACTTGTAAGTGGACACACATACCACCCATGCAGTTTTGTGAAGATTCAGCTTCTTAATGTTGAGGAAGGGCTTGGCACGCTGATGGTGCTCGTCAAACCGGGTCTGTTCACTTTGTTCAGTTGATGAAACATTTTAAAGCTGTTTTATGTCCAACAATCTCATTCTTAAAAGCACATCCGGAACTCAGATTCAACATCCCCTTCCATCAGGTGCCACACTGCTGGAATTTGACCATCCTTTTGCCTTAAGTGTCACCTCCTGCCAGCCACTCCTGCCTGTCACATCACTGCCACCCCATGCCGGGTTTTCTTCAGGCTTCCGGGAGTTCCACTTGTCTCCTGACACCCCGCTTGGCTTGTGAACTCATTAGCATGGGTGTCAGGGAAGCCGTCTCAGCTCAACACTGCAGATCCAGTGCTGAGTTCTCCCTGAAGGGAGCGAGGCTTGCTTCTTGGAAATCCAGCTGCTGCCACAGCCCGAGGGTCTTTGGAAGCTGTGCCTCACTAGTGGAGTGCCTTTTCTCTTTTAAAAATGATATCTCTACCTTTCAGTATTTTTAAATAAGCTTTTCTTTTTTGCTTTCCATCTCTGGGTCGCTGCAGCTTGGGTTACTAAAGTTCTGATCACTCCTAAAGGTCGCTAGAAGGAAATAGGAACTGTATTCATTTTTTAGAGTGGCTGTAATAAAGTACCATGAACTGGGGGGCTTAGAACAACAGAAACTTATTGTCTCATAGTTCTGGAGGCTGGAAGTTCGAAATCAAGGTGTCAGCAGGGCCTTGCTCCCTGCAAACCTGTAGGAGAGAATCCTTCCTCGCCTCTTGCTAGCTTCTGGCAGAGGCTGGCAGTCCGTGGGGCTCCTGGACCTGTAGGTGCAGCACCTCGATCTCTGCCCCTGCAGCCATGTAGTCTTCTCCCTGTGTCTCCATCTGCCTCCAGATTTTCCTCTTCCCATACGAACACCAGTCATTGGATTGGCACTCATCCTAATCCAGTATGACCTTATCTCAATTTGATTACATCTGCAAAGATCCTATTTCCAATAAAGGACACAGTCACAGGTACTGGAGGTTAAGATTTCAACATGCCCTTTTGGGATACAATTCAACTCATTATAAGAACCAAGCAATGTGGACTTGGCCCAAAGTTCTGGGGAATGGGGAGGAGGGTGTGATTGTCTTAAGGGGTTAGGGCAATAGGCTAAAATTCCACTGAGATGTTCCTGCATGGGTCTGTACCCTGCTAACCATTGCAAAATAATGATGGGGCTATGACTGGCATAAGGGGCACAGGATTCAGAGACCGGAGTCCTAAGCTTGAGTCCTGGTTCTGTCCACAAAGGACAGAACTATATGTATTATATATACACACACACACATTCACAAATATATACATATATAATGTGTTTAGAAATGTGTCTTACACCTAACTATATGTATTATATATACACACACACACACATTCACAAATATATACATATATAATGTGTTTAGAAATGTGTCTTACACCTTCAATGAATAACTATTGTTATCTGTCTACAGAGGCGGACAGAAACACAGGGCCACATGGCTCAAGAGGCCCTGCTACTTGTGGAAACAGAATAATAAAGTCCCCCTTTTCTGAGAAGAGAAAGTAGGAACACAAATAGAAATCTTCCTCTATTAAAGGAATCAAATACTAATTAAGGGAAATCTACAAAGTGAATGATGTGGATCTAAAATTCTTTATTTATTTGGGTCTGTGTGGTAAAGCCTTGCTGTGGGTGGAGGAAGCTGAATTCAAGAACTAGCAAAGGGCACCTTGGCCTTGGCTGGTTCAGGAATATAGCAGAGAGGATGGTCTACTGTGGGTTTGAATTGACCATGCTCTGTTCTCTACCAAAAGCAGCACACATCTCCATTTCATTTTCCTGCCAGGAATAAAAGAGTTAATGCATGTGACATGGTTAGAATGTGCCCGGCATACAGTAAGTGCTCAATAAGTATCAGCTTATCCAATGGAAAAGGACAAGGACTTTCTTGCTTTCCAGTCATCTTCCAACAATAGTTGCTTTTGCCCATCTAAATTGTAGGGCTGCTTGCTAGTGTGGTCATCAAAATTTGTGAAGCCCATTTTAGGTAGTTGAGAGAAGTCACAAAACACAGTGACTGTAGGAGATCGCCAAGTCTGTAAATTGTTCTCAGTGTTAACCACATCAGATATAGGTAAATTTACAGTAAATGCAGTGGCATTCTATTTTTTCTCTCTTTTTCCCGCTGAAGTTAAATTCTCGGTTCCCCAACACTATCAAGATTTCAGTATAGCTTCTGGGGTTCGAGCTGGCTGTATCCCTAATGGAGCTGCTGATAACATACTAATTTAAAATATTAGGGTACCTGACAGTTTCTAAACCCCAAATACAGCGTGAAGTTCTATTCCTTCTATAGGACCTCATATTTTCTCTAAGCAATGGTTGTAAATCCTGGATGTACATCAGAATCCCTGGGGAAATTTTAAACAGGCCAGGGTTTGCATCCGTCCTCCACTGTTAACTAACTGTGTGACCTGGGGGAATGATTTCACCTCTCTGAACTTTAGCATCTTCTTTTTAAAATAGAGACAGTAATACCGTGCTCCCAGGGCTACTTGAGGAAGAAAAGTGGGAAATTTGGTAGAGGACTTAGTGCAATACCTGATTAATTTACCATAAATGTTACAGTATAAATTCTCGCAATCAGGCTTAGTTATTGTCATGTGGTAGTAATAACCATAAAAGCCCCCCAAAGTAGAGTACCTCCTCTTAGCAGCCCAGCCCTCCATTGTAAATAAGAGGAAGTGAACCCACATCTACATTCTGGGGACCCAAGTCAATAAACAAGACTCACAAACACAATGGGGCAGGCGTGATGTCCAGATGGGAGTCCCCGTTTCACGGCTGTAGCAGGTCAGAAGGGAACTCCCTTCAAGCACAAAACCAGGGTTGCAGGTGTACTGGATAGTGGTGCCCACCAGCAGCACAGGATCCGAAATTAGGCGGGTTGAGTGGTCCACCTCTCCGGGGTCAGTGCAGTACATAACTACACGAGACGAAATCAGACCAAGTGGGCATCAGAGCTCTCGATCATCATAGGTGTGCTAAGAATTACAGAATGATCTAGAAACTTTCCTAACACAGTTCTTTTCCCTTTTGAAAGACAACACATCTTTTGCTCATGAAAGGTGGCTGGAGAATAGTCCAGGAGGGAAGAGACTTGAATTTAATTCCTCTTTTAGAAATTGGCCCAAAGAATTTGCATCAGGGCCCAAAGACCTATGTATAAGGTCGTGCATTATGCTGTTATTTGTAATGGTTAGGAAAAAAAGAAAAAAAAAGAAAAGAAAAGAAAAAGAAAGAATGCAAATCCTTTAACAGGGGAAGAGTTAAATGTCTGGAACAGCCATTCCACAGAATCCTGAGCAGCCACTAGAGACCACAAAGTGAGTGGGGCCTTCAGTGCTTTCTTTGTAGTGCTTGAATGTAGTAATACAAGCATTCATTACTTTATAAATTAAAAAATCAATGTAGACAAATGGAAAACAAGAAAACAATTTAAAAAAAAAGAATGAAGTGGACAACATGAGTGATAGGAAAAGATATTTGTATTTCTGACTCGGAAAAAATAGCAGTTGTAGGGAAGTTCGTAAAAGTGGATCCCGTTGTGGTGAAATCTCTCTATCTGTAGCTATATATGCCTATATATCTATATCTATATATGCCTATATATGCACACATACACACACACAAACATATATATGTCAATGTGTAACACGTGATATATGTGTGCACGCGCACACACAATTGGAATGATATGGAATAATCTTTTAACAGTGCCATCATTTCCAGAGAATAAGATCATAAAGGATTTTCACTTTCTACTTCATAATTTTATTACTGCTTGTGTACCGTAAGTAAGCATTGTTGTCAATGTAATTTTAAGACATGGTTATATAGTCAGTTCTTCATATCCATGCGTTTCACATCAGCCGGATTCAACCAACCAAAGATTGAAGCCCACAGATATGGAGGGCAGACGGTGTGCATTTTCCACCTGTGGTTGTTCGAACCTACAGATGTGGAACTCGCGGATATGGGCGTTTGACTGTACTCTGCCATTTTGCATCAGGGACTTGAGCAGCCATGGGTTTTGGTATCCACGGGGGTGGGGGAGGGGTCTGGAACCAATCCCCCATGGATATGGAGGGCCAGCTGGATACTTTTAATGTCAAGAAAGCATTTTAACGAATGAAAGAGGTTGACAACATCCAGCGACTTCTGGGGGAGACCCCATTGTCAAAATGGGGTTTGCCGACCTTGTTTCACCAGATGAGAAGGCAACTGAGGCAATTTGGGGGGGTCTCCTCTGTCTTGGATGGAGGATGCGTGAGGAACCCAGCATGGCTGCATAAACATCCATACACGGAAGGGGCCCGGTACAAATTTATTTCCTCTAATTTGGGCCTTTTCTTGGCAAAATTGAGGCAGATGAGAAGACTTTTCTATAGAGTAATAATTGATGTCCCTTCCAACCCCTAAAATATCTTAAATAATGTTGATGATGTAGATCACTTTAACCAGTTGGCAACAGGTCTCTCTCTCTCTCTCTCACACACACACACACACACACACACACACACACACACACACACACACACACACCATATACTGTTGCAGAGCACCTAGAACTGTTTATGTAGCCAATTTCGTGGGTCTCTGGCAGGTTCTTTCACAATTCCCACAATTATAATAAATTTTCTTTGATTTTGAGAGGTTTATGATGGGAATTTTAAGTAGCCGCCACACCCCTTCCCCAACATCCTCTTTCTCTCTTAATGCTTATTATTTTTTACTGTGCGATTTGTGATTCAGGTCATTTTAACAAGTCTACCAAAGAATCACCAAGGACCCTCAGCAAAAGGGTTGGGAACTAGAGCTTTACTTAGCAGGTGGGAAGCAAATGGCTGCGGGAGAAACCCACTCTCCATTTAGCTCCTCCCCCTGCTACTAAGGCATCCATGTAGAACCAGAGCAATTCCTTTTTCTATCCCTTTTTAAGACACTAGACTCAGCTATTGCCACGTGCCTGGCCCCCACCCCTGGGGCAGCAGGGACAGCGAGCAGGCAGAAGGAACCAGGAGACGGGGCTGATGCCCTCTGACAAAGTCAGTGACCTGCGACAGGGGTTTACAACTGGGGCTCCAGTCAAAGGGCCGACTTAGACTTCTTTGGCTTGTCTACTACAGGTATTTTATTTATTTATTATTTTTATTTTCTTAATTTTAAAATTTATTATTAGCATATTCATTCTTACAAGTCGTGATATTTCTTTTTTTCTTTTCCTTTTTGTCTTTTTTTTTTTCGTGACCGGCAACGGGATCGCAACCCTCGGTGTTGCGCCCGCACCTCGCTCAGCCAGTGAGCGGCCGGTCTGTATGTGGGATCCGAACCCTCAGCGGGAGCTCCCAAGCGGCGCACTGTAGCAGTGCGCCACCAGGCCGGCCCGTGATATTTCTTTATGACCTTTGCCCACCCTATCACTTTGCAACCCCCCTCCCTCCCCTCGTCTCTAGTATCCTTCAGTTTGTTCTCTCTTTCCATGACAGATATTTTAAAGACCTGAATTTGAATGTTCTCGTCACAGGCTGCATATACTCCGGTTCACTGCAGTCCACAACACTCCCTGTCGTCTCACATCCAGCCTAGTTCACTCATTTACATTACCTGCCAGGCTTCTGAAGGCACCTAAGTCCGGATCCTTGCCCTAGGGCTACAAAATGACTGGTGAGCCATACCAATAAGTTGGTGGGGTAGGAGAAATATGAGATTTTATATTAAACAACTCCACTGCATCCACACACAAATAATGCCCCTGGGAGGGATTTACCATCCAGTGACCTAAAGGAAGAAAACAAGATTCCTCTTACTTTTCTCACAAAATGGGGGGTCGCTGCTCCAGCTGAGGTCCCACTGGCAGGTGAGTGTGTCACTCCCCACGATGTCGTAGCCGGGATCACACTGATAGGTGATTCTGGCCCCCCTCACAAGCTCTGTGTGAGAAGTGGTTTTCCAGCCATTCTGGATCTCAGGCAAATCTGAGCAGGAGTCATTCCTTGACACCTCTTTAAAAGAAAAACATCGTCCTTAGATGGGGAGGTGGCCTTTTTGCTTGGGTTCCCCCTTCTGAATGTTAGAGAAAAGAGTGAGTAGAAGAAAACACCTCTGGAAATAAGTAACACACTTCAGAAATCCCTTAAAGAGCAAGAACTCTTCTACAGTGAGATTTTACAATGACCTCTCCCCATGGGCCACTAAACTTACCGGACATTCTCTGGGTTTGATAAAACCAGGTTAGGATTCAGAGTCAGACAGAAACCTAGCTCCACCACAGGCTAGACCTGGAGGCGATCACTTCTCTCTGCGTCTCAGGTTTCTCATCTTTCATGAGGGATCATCATAACCAGGCCTGCCTCATGGTGGTAGCCAGCTTCCAAGATGTCGCTCAATCACTTTCCTCCTGGACTCACACTCTTGTGTAGTCCCCACCAACACTCTATAATAGAGTACTGCAGAAGTGAGCGTGTGTGACTTCCGAGGCCAGGTCATTAAATACATTGCGTCTCCTTTCTTGCTCTCTCTCGGATCACTTGCTCTGGAGGAAGCAGCTGCTGTGTTGTGAGGATGCTCAAGCAGCCCTCTGGAGAAATACATGTGGAGAGGGACTGAGGCCTCCTGTCATCAACTGGCATCGACTTACTGACCACACATGTGAGCCACATGGAAGTTGATCCTCCAGTCCCAGTCAAGCCTTCAGATGACTGCAGCCCTGGCTGACATCTTGGCTGCAGACTTATGAGAGACCCCAAGACAGAACATCCCAGCTAATGCTGCTCCTGAATTCCTGACCCACAGAAACTGTGAAATAATAAATGTTTATTGCTAATCTGGGGCGTGCTCTGTTACACAGCAATAGGTAATGGGTATACTCAGTCTCTCCTAAGAATATCTGTAAATCCACGGGTTTGGTGAATTAGCAGTATATATATTTGTAGTACACATTTAGATAAATCATTAACTATTAAAATAAAAATAATTGTTGGTGTATTTTGCAAATCAAATTGCATAGCTTTAGCTATACTCCAGAAAATGCTACCCACAGCTTATTATCAGAGACTTCTTTTGGAATAATTCTGTTTTCCTCCTTCAAAAACTCATTACTAAGGTAGCAATCCAAAGCCCACTTTTACTGCTCTTGCTTCAAAGTGGCCACTGCACAGATTTGAGAGAAGAGCTAATTATGTCGTGTAATTAATTTGCAGCTCTTATGCGCTTGTGGGGAAAGCAAAGCTCCTCCATTGTCTGCAGGAAAGTCATTCAGAAGCACAAGCAATGGCTCTTCCCAGGATTTCATCATGATTTTATTTGGGGAAAGGAAATCTCATGGGCGTCTGCAAGAAGAAACAGTAGAGAAATGGCTTCTAGAATTGCTTGGTGGGGAACAGGAGCCTCTATTTTTAGGGCTTTGAGAAATCAGACAAGGCTGGGATTTGAGACACAGCTGCAAATGCTCAAACTATGGATGAAAGTGGAGAGATGGGGGCAGATACTAGAAATGTGGTCTGTCTTCTACCAAACGCTTTGGGACTGAGAAAGCCTTGCTCGTCTTACTTTGCAGTGTGAGCCACTACGGCTACACAGTCCTGCAGGACCTTCTGTCTCCTTTGTGGCACTCATTGCATTTGTAGTTACTCATTTGCCAACACCACGTAGCAGAGCCTTGGCTTAAATCAAGATTTGACTGGGTGGCCTTGGCTCAGTCACTTAACCTTCCTGTCCTTCAGTTCCCAGACTGCACCCCAAAGACCCTGATTCATGAATTTGCCTTCTTACTAAGTTCTACTTGGAGGTTCTGGAATTATGTATCCCTGTGGGCTCCTGTTAACTTTGCTAAGAATGAGAAAACTGGCCTAGGAGTTGAAGACTTCTCTCCTACTCCTCTTTTATTTCTGTTTCTTTAACAGAAATAAGATCAAGAAGCTGTGTGACTCCAGTCATGTCAATGAACTGCTCTGAGCCTCATTGTCCTCTTCTGTAGAATGGGGTCAAAAATCATGACCCCGTCATTCCCAAATGGCAATATGAAAGCTAATTAATATGCAGGATAGGACAGTATTGTGTGAGCACTAAGATGAGTTAAACGGCTTCATTTATTTGTTTGACTAAGGTTTTGTGAGAATCTACTATGAGTATACGCCAGGCACTAGAAACACAGGGAACTGAAGTCATAATTCTAGTCTCATGGCCAAGATTAGCACCATGGTCCAATTTCTGGGCAAAAGAAATGCCCCAATGCACTGAATACACACCAGGATTTACCGCTTTCATGCTCATGGCAGACATCCCCAATCAATTACAGCACTCTCTTTGAATCAAGCTAAATCCTGCCAATACTCCTCAACACATCATGCCAGGGAGCCACTGTCATTTGATTGGAATTGACCTACAACATGGAGCTTATTTATTTTCCTAGAATTAGAGGAATGAACACAAATGACCATTATCTCCTCAAAAAGCACTGCTTACTCATCTCTGCATATTTATTCCCTTTCCTCCAATGCACTCGGCCACAGACACTGGGCAAAGAACAGGAAGCAGTGAACAGAATACACCTTTGCATCTCTCTGTGCAAAGGAAAATTCTGGGATGTCAGAACCATGTAGGCCCAGAGTGTTCCTATGGAAGGCTCTGATTTACAGCCATAGCAAATAAGCCTTGCCACCTTCCAGAGCTGGGTTTGGGCCTTTAGGTCAGTCTAAGAGGTTCAGAATTCTCTAGATGACCACAGAAACCTCTGATCTTACCATCTGATTCCTCCACTGAATGGGAGTTGCATTTATGTATGGCTAAATCTAGACCCGGGGTAGAAAATACATCTCCCATGCCCATGGCAGACATCACTAATCAATCATGGCATTCTTTTCCACTGATTTCAGGCACAACCTCTAAGTTCTTTTCAACATAAGTAGTCATGAGCAATTGATTGGCATCAAAATTAAATACAATGGCCCATTTGCCATCCTTGTGAAATTAACTGTGTTTCTTTAACAGAAATAAGGCCAAACAGAATGGAACTCTTCTTTTTTTGTACCCAAATTAGCCAGACTGTGTATCCCAGGAAGGATTCTCTGCAATCCTGTGCTTGCTTCTTCCATAGCATCAGCACATGATCCAGACATTGTCTATTAACAGCAGGACTGCCTCTCCCATTTTCACGAGCTGGTTCAAGGGCAGGAGAATATTCTATTCATTCCTATATCCTGGTGCCTAGCACAGAGCCTAACATATAGGAGGCGTCATGAGATTTTTGTGAACCAAACTCTCTGGAAAATGGAGATAATGCATTAGGAGATGAAATAAAATAGTATATGTAAAAGTGCATGCCAAATGTAAATTGTCACACAAATCTAAGTTTCAAGTTTCATTAACAAGAACAACTCCTCTTCAATGTGTTGCCAAACTGAACATTGGCCAGACTTTCTGGTTAACCTTGATCAGCCTTGGATAGAGTCATATTTTTGCCATCAAATTGAATGCAGTGTTGGAAGACTGACTCAGGCACCAGAGGGGACAAATGAGCAAGACTATGACCTCATCTTTCAGCTGGGAGGGAGGGGAGTCAAAGGAGATAGATTGAAGCCCAGCCACCGGAAACCCTCCCTCCAAAGGAAGCAGATTCTGGAGGGCACCTTGCCTGGTACCAACAGGAGCATCCCTTGATGCCCAGGGCACTGCCCAGTAGAGAACAGAGAAGCTATGGAAAGTAGCAGCAATAACACGCTGACAATATTTAACAGCACAATCAAGGGTAAAAAGGCCCCTGAGAAATATAAAAAAGAGGATCAATACTTGGGTTAGCCTCTCTGAGAGGTGGCCATGAGCAGGCAGGGATGAAAAATGTTTACCAGCTGCAAATTAAAAAAAATTGAGGGACTTATTTTAGCATGCATGAGGCTTCTTGGGATAGCCAATGATCAGGGGAGTGGCTTGTATTTTAGATGCAATGGGGTGGAACAGAGAAGACAGTTTATATTACACAGAGATGGGCAGTTCCTCAAGCCCAGGAGAAAGAACCAAACACATGAAACTGTGTTCCAGCCAGAGGTCTTTGGTGTTGGTGGTGATGGTGGGGGACTTGGTAGGATGAGCCCTCCTTTTTCCTGCTCCATCCTNAGAGGTGGCCATGAGCAGGCAGGGATGAAAAATGTTTACCAGCTGCAAATTAAAAAAATTGAGGGACTTATTTTAGCATGCATGAGGCTTCTTGGGATAGCCAATGATCAGGGGAGTGGCTTGTATTTTAGATGCAATGGGGTGGAACAGAGAAGACAGTTTATATTACACAGAGATGGGCAGTTCCTCAAGCCCAGGAGAAAGAACCAAACACATGAAACTGTGTTCCAGCCAGAGGTCTTTGGTGTTGGTGGTGATGGTGGGGGACTTGGTAGGATGAGCCCTCCTTTTTCCTGCTCCATCCTGGAAATCAAGATGCCAACCTAGTTCCTGGGAAGTGCAAGCAAGGCACCTAATCACTGGCTGAATCCCACCCATTGAAATCCTCAAGCTGCTACCACCCATCATTCTGGATGTCAAAAGAAGTTAGACCTTAATTACTCCCTTGTGTCTTCCAGATTCTCTGCTGCTGCCAAGATACTGGGGGTGGAGGAACCTCTAGAGCTGGGAATGAGGAAACCTGAATGTGAGCTCATCTCTGCCCCTGATGAACAAGATCCTCTTCTTCACTGGTCTGGGGCTTCTTCTGCTGTGACCTGACAGGGTTGGGCCACATGCTCTGTTAGTTTAAGTCTCTTCCAAGGCTGGGATAAGTAGGACTTCATGGCATCCCAGTTCCCTGACTGCTGGGAATGTTGGTGGCTTGGACTAGGGTAGTGGCCGTGGGAATATGGAGAGACACACTTGGATTTGAGACATATTGTGGAAGTGGAGTTGAGAGGATGGATTGGATAAGGGGATGAGGAAAGAGGAAGCAGTCTGAGAAACCAGGAGAGTTGTGGTCCCATTTCCTGGGATGGGTGGATGGCAGGAAGACATGGTTGGGTAGTGGTGACTGGGGGATAGGAAAATAAATTGTTCTATTTGGCCATGTTAAATCTGAGATGCATGAGACACCCAAGAGAGTAGTTAGCAGGGAGTTGGATATGAATCTGGAGTTTAAGGTCAAGGTTGGAAGTACACATCAGAGGTCAATGGATATAAGTATTGCTTAAAACTGTGGGACTGGATGAGGGAACAGGGTGGGGGGTATGAATTTAGATAGAGAAGAGGACAGGGTCTATGATGGAGCCTGGGACTCTCCAGTGTTTAGAGGTTGAGCAGAGGTGGGTTGTGGAACAGTAATGAATGAGGGAGAGTTACAGGGTGGGCAATGAGGATGGCAGGGTGTGAGCAGATGAAAGCACAACGAAGAGGTGTTGGATGGGCAAGTGAACTTAGCTTGAACTTAATAACAGGCTTTTTAATATTTTGTTTTGTTTTGAGATGAGCAGCAGAGAAATGGCTTGGCAGCCACATTGAGGGTCAAAGAAAACATCTCTTGCATCTCTAGGTCCTAAAAAAAAGCGCTGTTCCTGTTTGATGGGGATGCAGGGGAAGAGTGCTTAGGGGACAAGGTGAAGATAATGCTTTGAGAAGTGGCAAATATTGGAGAGTGTGCCGATGCTATAAAATCTCAGCTGACTACAAAAGAAGCATGATAAATCTTAAAGTTATGAGGCATTATCTACTAAATCTTGATAGCAACCTTGTAGAGTAGGTATCACTATGCTCACTTTACAGATGACAAAAAGGAGGCTCAGAGAGGTTCGGTGACTTGCTTATGGTCACATAGCCATTGATGACGGTCCTAGGGCTCAAACCCTGATACTCCTGACTAGAAAGCCCAGGTCTCAAAAACTATTTATTTTACTCTACCAACATATTAAAAGGCCTGTGTAGCACAAAATCTCCAAAAAGACATATCTGTCGGAAACCATCTTAACCTGCATCTAAACACAAAGAAAAAAATTGACCAGATGAAACACCTACCTATGTAGTTCATGATAAATCCCTGGCCCTTTCCAAAGATGAGGCCAGCAGGGTCTGAGTGGAACTGGATGGTTAGGTCAGGCGTGGAGGAGTACAGCTTTTGAGGGCCACTGTTCCCAAGGTACTGCCCCAAGATGTGGGGCATGACCTCGTCTCCGTCATAGATGGTCAAGATGTCACTGTTGCTCAGGTTCAAGCTTGGAGGGTAGAGAGAAGAGAAGGAGTCATGTGAAGAACAGCATGAGCATTCAATCCGCCTTTGATTAATTTTTTCAGGCAGCACACAATATCGTAAGACATACTATGGCCAGGGCCCCAGGCTAGGAACTGGGGTGATGTAGGTATAGACTGTAAATGGGACCAGGATATTGTGTTCCTTCCTGCAAGTGCGGCACACAGATTTGTGGGTTTTGAAGATCCATTCATGAAATGTTCTTGCCTGCATGGGAGTCACTGCATAGGACTCACTGCAAAGCCAAATACTATGTTGTAAGAAGAATTGCCTTCAACATTCCTGTTATCAACAACCACTTCTGGGGTGTCAACTATGTGTTGGGCGCTGGGCTACATGCTAGGGGTGTGACACGGGTCTTTCATTCTTTTTTGATGCAGAACGTTCTGAGAGTTTGCTAGTTACGACTTGCATTTTCATATAAGGGGAAATGATCTTCAATTTATCACGTGGCAAGTTCCTCAAAGTCAGTTGAGTTATCTGTTATGTTTAAGGAGTGGGGCAAGGGTGGGATGGAGGTACCTTATTTGTGAAATATGCTCAAACCTGATATCACTATTCATAGTAGTAAGAGATGATACATTTTTAAAGACTCATATGTAAGAAAGTACTTTGACACTAAATATTTGAACCACAATGGACAATTGATAATCCAGAAGGCCCTTCAGTATACCACAGACGTGAGCCATCTTAGGCTTGCTGGATAACATCGATGTCTGATTGAAAGAATGCCAGATAATTCAGCTTTGGCTGCATCAATTATGGGTAGATATTAACTCAGGCTCCTTTCTTTCCTTTCTTCTTCCCCTCTCTCTTCTCTTTCTCTCTTACATCTTTCTCCTCTTGTGTTCCTCTCCCTAACATTTCTTGGGTACCTACTATGTGCCAGGCACTGTGCTGTGCTCAGAGGAATCAGAATAGTGTTGTACTTAGAGTTGCGAGTCAGGGAACGTGACAGGAGTTATGATCAGGTAAGTGGAGAGAAGGATGTTTAACTCAGATTGGCGGCATCACGGAGGCCTCCCTGGAGAAGGTGGTGCTTGTTCCAAGCTTCAAAAAAGAGTAGAGGATCTTGAGGTAGATAGACAGTGGGTGGGGAGAAGGCAAAGCATGAGGCAGAGAGAAGAATGGAGAGGGGTCATGGTTCCTGAAAGAATTTGCTAGGTGGTCAGTGTGCTTGGGGTATGGGTAGAGGTATGGGAACCTGGAGAGTTCTGCAAGGATCAGACTTTAAAAAGCTTAAAGAGCCAAACATAGGCATTTGAACACTATCTTGCTGGAGATGGGAGACCCCGAAGGGTTTTAAGTGGGAGCAGCATGACAGAGAAATCCACTCCAGAGGAGAGGTGTTCCAGGAAATGGTCTTTAGTGAAGTTCCTGGAACTGATGCAGACTGACTACAGCCCTCCCCTTACAGATTCATCCAAGGCCCAACAGAGGAGGGGTGGCAACTGCCCATGTTGGTGTTTGAAGTGGTAAGAATGAAACAACAGAAGCACAAGAGACGCTGTTGCAAGTTTGCTTCTGGAGAGCAGGGGTTGTGTTTTATCTACCCCAATACTTTCCACAGACCCTCTGATAGTCCCTCATGTGAAGTTGGCCCAAAGAGTGGCTTAGGAAGATCTTAATTGCTCCTTCATAATCTCCATTAGTTACTCCTAGAACACTTCCAAACAATCTCCCTGAATAAAAGCTGTCTGCTTGCTTGCACACATGGCTTCAAGACAAAGACCCTAGACTCTTCCCACCCCCTGCCAGTTTTCAATGACGTTGAAGCCTCCACTGCATTGAAATTCTGGAGTTTCGACCTTCCCTTGCACACAGTAGGTGCTCAATAAATGCTATGGTATGAAAGAGCCTGCCAGAGAGTCTATTTGACAGCAGAAATAGTGGGGTTAATCTCAGCTCTTGAAGTATGGCAGGGAAGAGCCTCTTTAGGTCTAAGTACCATGAAAACATCAATTGCTCATGAAAGTGCCAGATTAGGCTAGTGTGAGACACAGTAGACAGCAAATATTTGTTCCTTAAGCCGGCTCTACAGCCCATCTGCTGGTAACAGTGGCTTCCAGACAGCGTGAGACTTGGCTTTATTTTGTCCGCTGGTAACGGTGGCTTCCAGACAGCGTGAGACTTGGCTTTATTTTGTCATTCATTTCAATGATCTAAATGCAGTAGCAACGTCTTCAAGGGTGCAAATAGCTCTCATTTAAAAATCCTACTACAACCCTCTGTTCACCTGAAAATAGGAAGGAGCAGAAATCTCA